GGGTTGTACCTGCCTACCTACCCCTGGAGGTATTTATCTTTGGGAAGGGTTCTGGAATGGTTTCCTGCTTGGCCAAGCGTGTGAAATACCAGCTACTGCAAGGGGAAACCATTTTAGAACATTTGCATGCTTAGGTAACTTTCATTTGTTCGTTTGTTGCACAGGCATTCGTCTACTTGTAGAAGAACAAAAAATGGCAGAAACAGTTTTAGCTGACTTGACTGTCACTGAAATTCATTAGAATTGGGTTGCACCTGCCTACCTACCCCTGGAAGTATTTATCTTTGGGAAGGGTTCTGGAATGGTTTCCTGCTTGGCCAAACGTGTGAAATACCAGCTACTGCAAGGGGAAACCATTTTAGAACATTTGCATGCTTAGGTAACTGTCATTTGTTCATTTGTTGCACAGGCATTCGTCTACTTGTAGAAGAACAAAAGATGGCAGAAACAGTTTTTGCTGACTTGATTGTCACTGAAATTCATTAGCATTGGGTTGTACCTGCCTACCTACCCCTGGAGGTATTTATCTTTCGGAGGGGTTCTGGAATGGTTTCCTGCTTGGCCAAACGTGTGAAATACCAGCTACTGCAAGGGGAAACCATTTTAGAACATTTGCATGCTTAGGTAACTTTCATTTGTTCATTTGTTGCGCAGGCATTCGTCTACTTGTAGAAGAACAAAAGATGGCAGAAACAGTTTTAGCTGACTTGATTATCACTGAAATTCATTAGCATTGGGTTGTACCTGCCTACCTACCCCTGGAGGTATTTATCTTTGGGAAGGGTTCTGGAATGGTTTCCTGCTTGGCCAAACGCGTGAAATACCAGCTACTGCAAGGGGAAACCATTTTAGAACATTTGCATGCTTAGGTAACTTTCATTTGTTCATTTGTTGCACAGGCATTCGTCTACTTGTAGAAGAACAAAAGATGGCAGAAACCGTTTTAGCTGACTTGATTGTCACTGAAATTCATTAGCATTGGGTTGTACCTGCCGACCTACTCCTGGAGGTATTTACCTTTCGGAAGGGTTCTGGAATGGTTTCCTGCTTGGCCAAACGTGTGAAATACCAGCTACTGCAAGGGGAAACCATTTTAGAACATTTGCATGCTTAGGTAACTTTCATTTGTTCATTTGTTGCACAGGCATTCGTCTACTTGTAGAAGAACAAAAGGTGGCAAAAACAGTTTTTGCTGACTTGATTGTCACTGAAATTCATTAGCATTGGGTTCTGGAATGGTTTCCTGCTTGGCCAAACGTGTGAAATACCAGCTACTGCAAGGGGAAACCATTTTAGAACATTTGCATGCTTAGATAGCTTAGATATGTTCATTTGTTGCACAGGCATTCGTCTACTTGTCGAAGAACAAAAGATGGCAGGCACAGTTTTAGCTGAGTTGATTATCCCTGAAATTCGTTTGTGTGTGTCACTACAGCTGTTTCCAGTGGGGAAATTTTCTACCTACCAATTTGCCGCTCACTTCACCTATTGGTCCTTTCGTTCAGAGATGTGGAGCTAGACAATATTTGGCCCACGCCTTTTCGGAATTAAATCAAAAGAACAGCCCAAACGCATGCAAATCTCTAGCAAATGCACGCACATTTTCGACGCGGGATTTTGCAGCCTCTTGTGACACAACATGCAAAAGCCACTTTATGTGTGCCTCAGGTGACGGCAAAAGAAGCAAACATGCAAAAAATAACTCAAAAAAACCATGCATTGTTGGGGTGAATGCAAAGGTAAAGGTACAGCTAACCACTTCAAAACTGAGCTGAACCCACAAGTTCCCCCAGTCAGAAATGTTCTTACCATGTACTGAGATCAAGAAACAAACTGAACTGTGATTTTACGATTTTTCTACCGTGTATCTGTATAAAATCCTTCTGGGTTTTTGTGCCGAATGGCATTGGTTCGGCAATATTGTTGCGACATAGTGCAATCGAGCCTTGCAAATCACCAAAACCATAGTTTCAACAGGAGGATCAAACTGGCAAATTGCTTTCAACCACCGGCTCACTAGGGATCACGAATACCTGCACAAAACCTGCACCATATATCATCATATGCTATTATAGAAGCTTCCAAGGTTCTACAATGCTTACGGGACCGGGGGTTCTACAATGAAAATTTTTCATTCTAGAACCCTCCGTGTTTATCCCCAGGGGGGGGGGCATTCTAGAACCCTCCAACTTGAGGGTATGCAGATGTGACAAAAAAGGCTGAGCCACTAGCACTCCAGGACAATCTTCATGCATTAAAACACTTTCAAAGGACTACTGTCTGTAGCAATCGTCTTCAAGTTTCATGCCAGATCTATAACGGAACAAAATGGTCGAAAATGGTCGAAACTTGGAAAGAAGAATCGCAAGAAAACACGGCCAATTTCAAAAGACAATGTCCGCCCAGCAATGGTCTTGAAGCTTGTTGCTGGAGATCCAGGTACGAAACGACTGTTCGAAAACTTTGAACTGAAAATTGCCAGGAACCACAAAGGCAATTAAAGAAAAAAAACAACACCCAGCTGAACAGGTTCATCTCTCAAAATTTTGCATCACGGCACAGCGTGTGTCATTTTTTTTTGCAATAATTCCCTGTGACGAGAAGAAACTTAGAATGACATAGAATGACCACTTATCAGGCACCAAGGCATGTTGCATTCGCACATTTTACATGTTTTGTAGGTGTTCCATGGTTTTCCGTTGTTTTCCCGCGAAAAACTGACAGGCCAGATGCTGAGCCACTAAGATTCCGTTCCGAGGTTCATGCACTAAACCATTTCAAAAGACTCCTGTCCGCCTAGCTTGATGCCGGAGATCCAAGTACGAAACGACTGTTCGAAAACTCTGAACGGAAAATCGCCAGGAACCACGTAAAGCAGGAACCCAACATCCAGCTGATCAGGTTCTTTTCTCAAAGCTTTGCTAGTAGCAGAGCAAATGTCGCACTTTTTTCCAATGGACCCCCGTGATGAGATACAACTTGAAATGCTTCCACTATCTTCCACTGTAGAATTCGTGCAGCCATCACATTTGTGCAACTAACACCTTCTATTTCAAGCCCCCCACAGAAGACGCATATATTGTTCATGCCGTGGGCCAAACTTAGAACCACCTGATATGGACTCGTAGGGTATCGAACAAGTTGCCGGCGCGGTCCCGGATAGCTGTATGATAATTCCACCCGGACTTGGACATCATTCTAAGTTCTTCTTGACGGGCATCCATCTACTGACAGGCGCGTATAATCCTGCAAATATTCCCTTTTTGCTTGCCCCTCATTCAAAGTTTTGTTTCTGGCCATTTTGCGCGGTATATACAGTGTTTCGTGTCTTTCCAAGCGCTCCAGCGAGAAGATCGAGAACTTTTTCCTAACCCCGGCGGTTTCCAAGTGGTCATTCTAAGTTTCGGTCCGCAACTATAATGGGCTTTGGAATTTTATGTTACGGGATGAGCAAGTTTATTTGAGGAATGCCCTTAGCAAAATTTAGCAAATAGGCCGATCATTTGCAAGAAATTGCAATTTCTGGTGACGAATATTATTCTAAGATTCAAGATTCAAGGCTCAGAATAAACTTCTTCAACCCAACCTCTTTGGATTCAAGATTCAAGATTCAAGGCTGAAGGCCTTCGGATTCAAGAAGTTTTTTTGGGATCTTGAATCTTAAATCCTACTGCCTTGGATTCAAGAAGTCTCTGTGGGATCTTGAATCTTGAATCTTGAATCCTACCCCCTTGGATTCAAGAAGATTTTTTTGGATCTTGAATCTTGAATCTTGGATCCGATGTACTTAGGGAAGGGCGGGGTGGGAACAAAATTGCAAAAAAAAGATGCAATGTTTGATCACCAAACAATGCCCTAAGTTTTATCAATGGCCATTTCAGGAACCTAAATTGGAGGTACCTACCATATGTAAGGGCTATTATAAGGCCTATGTAAGGGAATATCCCCACCAAATATGGCCTTATATGGTACAGTATCTCCATTTTAGGATCCTGAAATTCCCATTGATTTTAGAGTCCAAATGTTAAGAAAAACACTATCAATACCACTAAATTTGCTTGAAAGGTAGGTCTTGGGGGAGGTATCATATATTATACATATATACATATATGTGTGTGTGTATGTGTATATGTGTATGGGTATATGCGTATATTTGTATATGTGTATATGAGTATATGTGTATGTGTGTAAGTATATGTATCTGAATGATCATGAATGTGTATACGTATATGTGCATGTGTATGTGTATGCATATGGATGTATGCATGTATGGATGTATGAATGTCTGCATCCATGCATGTATGTCTGTGTGACTGTGTATGTTCGTGTATGTCATGTGATGTGATGTGATGTGATCTGATGTGATGTGATGTGATGTGATGTGATGTGATGTCATACCGTGCCGTGCCGTGCCGTGCCGTGCAATGCATGCATGCATGTCTGTTTGTCTGTCTGTGCATGCATGGCTATGGGATGTAGGGATGTTTGGATGTGTAGATGTATGGATGTATGAAGTATGGATGTAGGGATGTGGGGATGTGGGGCTATAAGGCTATAAGGATGTAGGGATGTGCGGATGTACGAATGCATGTATGTATTGATTGAAAAATGCTAGAATTGCATAGAATTGCACTTCTATCTGCCGATCACCCACCCATGGGCAAACCACCACCCTACCAAATCAACCAACTGAAAAGGTTGCTGAAAATCGCTCATGACAGACAATTTGGCTTGAACTCCCGACAATAAGTCCTTGAAACTTGCAACTCAAGCATTTCACAGGGCATACCAAGCTGTTAGGGGCCATTAAAACCCACCAACTTCACCTGAATAGGTGATTTATGGTGATTTTTTACCCCCCAATTTATGATACTTATATATACTTATATATACTTATATATACTTATATATACTTATATATACTTATATATACTTATATATACTTATATATACTTATGGCCATCAAGCCATGGAGAAGCATCCGTTTCCCGCGACGTGGCCTCCTTGGACTTCATCTCTGCCTTCGCCGCGCCCTTCTCAGCTGCTTTGCTCAAGCCCTGCACCACCTGCATGGTGCTGATCTCCTGGCTGCAAAGGGGATTTTCTGTGGAATTTGTGTCGCATGATATTAACCATATATTATAACTAATAACCATATAATAACATCTAATAATCATATAATAACCATATAATAACATATAATAACCATATAATAACCATATAATAACCATATAATAACCATATAATAACCATATAATAACATATAATAACCATATATTAACCATATAATAACCATATATTAACCATATAATAACCATATAATAACATATAATAACCATATATTGGTGAATTCCACCTATTCCCCATCATTAACCACCATCAACCACAGTGGGAAACCAGAACATGTTTTGTCTTTTTTTGCCAGAAACAAAACATCCAGTGGCACTGGGTCCTCTTCGGATCTGATCGCCTCCTCAAAGGATTGCTCCATATGTTGCCGGATGCCTGTGATGCTCATCCGTGGAAGTAGCCAAAATCAACACTTTCATGCACACATGTACCTATAGGTCCACCAGCAACAAACGACCGCGGTATAAAAACGTATAAAATAGTGATTTCAATTGTTTCGAAATAAGCCCCTGCACAGGCTTCCATGTACAGGGTTTCATTATGCATATAATGTGCGTAGTTACATTGGTGCAAAGGTGGCCTGCGGACAGGTTTTCAAAGTCATTTAGTGTACGAGTACCATGAAGTCTGTGTGCAAATCGACATGAAGCCCCCACCCCACCCAACCATGAAAAAGCTAGAAAACACCCAAGAAACCAGGGCCGTCTGGCCAGTTGTCCAACCACACGGGTTTGTCCAAAAACTAGGTGCCCCTAAACTACACTCATTTTCGATAAATGTCATTTGTTTCACATGTTGTCCCTAACATTTGCCACGAATTTGGGGCTATAGTAGATCATTTCAAACACACCCAAATGATCCCAAATGTCATATCAAGTTTGCTACATCCATATGATCTCCCCATATATCACCATTTTTCCTAGCGAAATCCACTTGTCATGGAAATGTTCACCAATTTCCGTTGCCAACCACACCTTCCGCTGCTCCATGCAAGGTTTTCAGCGTCTGCAAACCGCTGGTCAAGAAGGAAGCGCCCCACAGGGGCTTGGACTCCTCAGCTTAGTGTGCCTAAATGTACGTATACGTTATGCATAAATAACTGCGTAGGCATGTTATGTGTTTATATCTATATATATATATACACGTATTATATATGTATGTACGTGCGTACGTATGTATGTGTATGTGTATGTGTGTGTGTGTAACATGTTGGATATGTATATAATGTATTATTATGTGTGTGTGTATATAATTAAATATATATTTGTGTGTGTGTACAGCATGTGCATTTAATGTCGGATATGCCTATCATTCTATATGTATAGCAAATAAGTATGATATACAGTACAGTATGTATGTATATGTGTGTATTCAACCAGCCATGGAGTTGCAGTTGCCACCAGCTGAATTTATCACTTCGAGCATGAAAGTCTCCATTTTGGGGTGCGATATTTGCATCACAGGCATTCCCGGCCGCGGCACCGCTGTGGACTGGATCTCCCCCTTGGCCTTGGATGTGGCAATGCTAGCCATGGTCCCCTGATTCTGGAGCGACCTGGTTGACTTCTACGAAAAAAACATGAACAAACGAACAAACTGTCAAAACATCAGCAATTCTCCAGGCCTCATTCTCAAGCTCTGGTGATGGCCTTGGCTGGGGAATATGATCGCGATAGCGAAGAACATTTCAGAAGTCTTCACTGAGGAAAACACCCTTGGTGGATTGTACAACCCGCATGGGAGATGCAAAGAGGACAGTTTAATCGCCTGATTATATCTAGTACTTTATTAATTAATTGTGTTCCTAATGCATCCAGTACCTGTTTCATACCTTGACTTCCATCTGAACATGAGCTGATGCGGCCAGGGCACTTGATTTCGTACTTCTGGCAAATGGACTGCAGGGCCGGGCCGAAGCAACCAGACACATCACTTCGACTCAGTTTTTACATACATTGGAATGCCTTGACATCTGGGCCATAACCTCTGACAGCAACCCTCGCCTGATACAGCACCGGGAGCTGCTCACTGTACTTATCAATCAACTTGTCCTCACTGCGCTGATTGCTACAAATCTAACGTCAAGCCGAGTCAAGCCCTAACAAATACTTCAACATATTTCAACACAAACCACTGACAATCACTGTTAATCACTGAATATATCTGAATCTATCTGGTTGGCAAGTTTGCGGAAGAGAATGGAAGAGAACAAATAGTTTTCCAGGTGTGCTGTTCAAATTTGCTGACACCAGGGATATTTATTCCTGCTGTGTGCATATCCATCCATAAGAACCCACGAAAGTCATTGAATAGTCACTGCAATGCATTGTGAAAAACGCGTTTGAATATTTCGAATCATGATTTCCGAGC